GTGGTGGAAGCCCCATCCCTGGAGACATTCAGTGTCAGACTCTCTTACTGCTTCTTACCCAAGGGTTGTTTGGGTTTGGTTTGTTCGTTTGTTTGGATGTTTAAGGAAAGCCCACAAAAGTTATTTCTTATAGCACTCGCATACCACGAGACATGGGCAGGTCTCTTCTATGATTCTGTGCTGGTTTGGATGATCCATTCATATATTATGAAATACTGTGCACCTCTACCTTGTTCCGAATGTTTTTTCTGTTTTTTTCTAGTGGGGCTGTCCTGGGTACTTGGCGCGATGGCGATGCAGCTGGAGGCAAACGCAGATACGTCGGCCGAGGAGGAGAGCTTTGGGCCACAGCTCATATCTAGGCTAGAGGTAGGTAAGGAGTTACCTCGGCAATAAGCTTGCGAGAAATCTGCTGGGCTTTCTCCTTAAACACCTGTTGTCTCTGAAGGTTGTGCTGGTAAATTGTACTTGTGTTTTGTCAAACACACCCAACATGTTAACAGCTGGAAGGTATTTGGGGGAAGTCAGATGAAGGTAATCGTGTCTCACCACCTCCTTTTTTCTCCCCTCCTTTTCAGCAATGTGGGATCAATGCAAACGACGTGAAGAAATTAGAAGAAGCCGGATTTCACACGGTTGAGGCTGTTGCTTATGCACCAAAGAAGGAGCTACTAAATATTAAAGGCATCAGCGAAGCCAAAGCTGACAAAATCTTGGTAAGGGTGTCATGGAAGAGTTTTAACGCAAGACGTTCGAGAAGTTTTATTTCTACTGGCTTAAAGCGTTCTGGTGCTTTTGGGAGGTCTCTGGTAACGACATGCGGAGAAAGGCAGAAAAGATGAGGGAACAAGGCAGGGAAGATTTGCACAAAATGGGTATTGAAGCTTTCTCTTTGAGCAGAATTTCAGTTCTGCTCAGAGGTACCAACTAATATACGGTCTATCAAATAAAATGCATTGGATTACATAGTTGCTTCTCAATTTCACAAAGTAGAAAACCATGGTATTAATTACCAGAGCAGGTCAATGACTGGGATGAACTCTCCTCACACTGCTTAGTTTGTTTTTTTCTTCAGGCCGAAGCAGCTAAACTGGTCCCGATGGGTTTCACCACAGCAACTGAGTTCCACCAGCGAAGGTCAGAGATCATCCAGATCACCACTGGCTCCAAGGAACTTGATAAACTTCTTCAAGGTAATAATTTTATTTCTTGTTAAGATGCACAAGTTCTGCTTGGATGGAAAATCTCCTCAGGTATTGCTCTCCTGCATCGCATTGGTTTGCCTTTTAGAAATTGCAGAAATAGTTTTAAAACCTTTTGGTCACGGTGCAGTACCCGGAGCCGTTCATTTTGGCTCTCTCTAGTGTGTTCGAGATCTATTTTAAGAAAACAAACCCAAGTATCATCTTCTCCCCATTCCTACTTGTAGTCAAAAAATCAAACCCAGTCATTTCAGCATCTTCAAAAGTGACACTTACCTAAACTTCTTACCTGCAACGTGAACAACCGTCAGTGTGGAAACCAGTTTTTCCAGTTATAGCTTTGAAACTTATAGTCTGAATAAGTGTTTAACTGGATCTCTGACAATGTAATACTTGATACACGGGGTCTTTGTTTTAAGAATGTGACTTTTTTCCAATTATTTTCTTATTTCTCCCTTCAGGAGGGATAGAAACAGGGTCCATAACAGAGTTATTCGGGGAGTTCCGTACGGGGAAGACGCAGTTGTGTCACACCCTGGCAGTAACCTGTCAGGTGAGTAGCCCGCTCCGTCCCAGGCGAGTACCCAGACCCCGCAGCTTTTGGCTATTTGCTCATTTGTGTACTTCTCTCAGCCAATGCCAACGTGATGCGTAGGAAGAGCCACAAAGAACATGTTTGCAGCACCCTTGGTTGTACCTGCAGCTCTCTGGGATCTTGCCTTTCATGCTTAACCTGCCTGCTAGCACCACCCTGGCGGCAATGAAGTTTGGGATGGTTTTTGCCCGTGTTTGACCCGTCCTGTAGCTTTTCTTTCTTTCCCTTTCCTCCTCGGTATTCTGACAACCAAATCGAACGTGTTAACCTTGTAGCGGGATTCGAGGTCTGAAATGCAGAGAAGTGTTGGATCTCTCTTCAGGTGCCCCAGGGTGCAGAGAGCCTTATTGCCGAGAATATTGAAAAGAGAGAAGAAACTGTGCTGGGTTCAGCACGTTTCTTTGCCCAGCTGCTTTTTCCCCAACAGATCCTTCGCTTCACTTTGCTTTTGTAAAAGCCTTCAGCTGGCTCTTGCTGTCAAACAGTAGGTCGGTTTGGAGCAACCTTTTCTCCTAACCTTAGTTTAGCAAATTAAGGCATTTATTGCTTTTTTGAGGTTGCTGTTTCATAAAATATCAGAGGCATTTGGTTTAATTGAGTTGTTTAGTTATCACCCTTATGCACCTAAACTTACTGGCTCAGAGTTAAGCCCCTGTCGTCATATGTAGGTATCGGAGATTGTGAGCAGGAGCCTTTCCTGTCATTTCTCCCTGACCAATGTGACTTTAGCCTGGCGTGGTATTCATTGCGTGGTACCAGCTGAGGGCATAAGGCAACAACTGGATTATTTGTTGATACTTTCTTTCGTGTTCACTCATTTATTTATTTTATTTTTTTCCTGCAGCTGCCCATTGACCGGGGAGGCGGCGAAGGAAAAGCGATGTACATCGACACCGAAGGGACCTTCCGTCCGGAACGTCTCCTCGCCGTGGCGGAAAGGTCTGTGTGTGGGGCTGCAGGTAACCTGGCAGCAGCCGAGGGAGGAATTTACTCACGGGGCAACTTACTGAATGAGAATCACGGCGTAAATCAGCCCATCTCCTTAAATTCGCTGGGCGGCTGCAGTAACAACTGTCCCTAAAAAAACCCAACCAAAGGAAAACCTTCCTGTCTTCCAGTTGTCTGCCTTCCAACACGCGGGTTAGGCTGTTCCTGAGCTGGTTTGGATAAACATTTCTAGTTTTAGATAAGAGCTGACATCCTTGTCCTCTGGAACATGATGTCTTCGTTTCTTCCCGCTGTCTTTCAAATTCAGTTTTACTGACAGTGAAATACACGCAAAGATTCTTCTTAAATTCTGCCGATAGCGTGACCTTGGAACAAGGATCCTTTTGGTAAAAGGTCATCGCAACAGCAGCTGGAAACCTTTTAAGAAACACGAGAGCATCCACTGACCAGCTGAAAAGCTGTTTCCTCATCGTCCCGAGGGATGCGGAATGCAATTCTTCAGATGGGAATTCGGGCCCAAGCTTCATTACAGCCTAATTTCGGGCCTCTGCTGGCATTACGGGTGTTTTCTCTGAAGTTCCTTTGGCTGTTCCTCAGCAGATGCTTTAACTGATTTTTTTTTTTTTTAAATATTTGGTTTTTTGCCTGGCGCAGCCACCTCCCTGATCCTGCCTGTTTTCATCTCCAAGACTCTCCCAGGAATATAAACTTTAATTCCAGCCCTCAGGAGTTATCTGGCAGGTTTACCTGGTGATGAAGGTGTCACTTAAAGATTTCTTTAAAAAATTTTCTTGTTTCTCCAGGTACGGCTTGTCCGGCAGCGATGTCCTCGATAACGTGGCATACGCCCGAGGGTTTAACACGGATCATCAGACCCAGCTCCTCTACCAGGCGTCGGCGATGATGGCCGAGTCACGGTGAGCACCCGGGTCGAGGTGGAACAACTCTGTGCCAGCCCCTCGCCGTGTCACCAGGCTACGTGTAGGTGATGACAAGTAGCAGACATCACATGGTCGTGAACTCTCAGAGTAATTATTTACTTCAAAAGTTAATTTTTTTTTAATAAGTTTGCTTTCTTCAGTGCTTAGATCAGGTTTTCTCATACTCCAGCTGGCCGCTGCTTTGGCCCACCCAGGGAGCAAGCCCGGGGTCGCTGTCAGTCTCGCCTCTCGCCGCCGAAGCGTTGGGTGACAGTGACGGGCTCGAACCATGGGGACCGAGGTCACTTCTCAAAGAGCAAACTCGGGCCTGAGGCGCGGTGTTCCAGATGGGATTGTAACCGCTTTCACACCCGGGGCTGGTTTAGAAGAACCTTGTCCTTCCCTCCTGCAGGTACGCGCTGCTGATCGTGGACAGCGCCACGGCCCTTTATCGCACCGATTACTCGGGCCGAGGGGAGCTCTCGTTTACTCGGACCGGGGGAAGCTCTCGGCCCGGCAGATGCATCTGGCCAGATTTCTGCGTATGCTGCTTCGGCTCGCGGATGAGGTGAGCTATGGACCTTGCTTTCTCCTCTAAAGGATCAGTTTTCTTCCTCTTGTAAAGCTTAATTTTGCACAAATGCCTCTCTGTCCACTCGGGGGCCGCTTCCATTTTGGTTGGCGATGCGTGATGGGCAGCACAACTGCACACGTGTCTCTCTTGTCCTTTTTCTTTCTTTTTTTTCTTTCCCCTTTGTTCAGATCGTATGAAATGAGCTGGTTTCTGATTTGTTGCTGTTCCCCTCGCAGTTCGGCGTGGCGGTCGTCATCACCAACCAAGTGGTGGCACAAGTTGACGGAGCTGCCATGTTCGCTGCCGATCCCAAGAAACCCATCGGAGGAAACATCATCGCGCACGCGTCCACCACGAGGTGAGAGAGCAGGGCCTTGTTCCGGGAGCCTTGCTCTGGGAGATTTTGTGCAACTGGCTGAGCACTGTGACGTTCGGGGTTTGTGCGTGGTCTGTCAGGGGTGACTCCAGCCAGACAAGGAGCGCCCCTCCGAGCCCTCGCTGAGCTGCAGTCAGTCCACGTGTTTTCAGGAAGTTCTCTCAGCTCTGCTGAGTTCATGCACTAACAGGATGTCAGTATGTGAAGGGTAGGAGGAAGGGCCCTGGGGGTGCTGGTGGGCACAGGA